ACTGTGCCACACTATGACCTGAGTTTCACTGCAGCATCCAGTCAAATGAAACAGAGCATGAATGATACTGTAACACAGCCAGGCTACACAGGCTCATGGTACAGTGCACAGCACCTGACCGTGAATCACTCTGCTCTGCCTGACTGAGAGTCAGAGAATATTCTACCTCTACTTAACCTGTCAGAAAAAATGGCCAAACAAGAACTGGCATATGATAGTATGAAACAAATTGACTACGTTTATTTTTGCTTCAATTGGTTATAATGAATCAGAAAATATTAAATATGTGCTTTCGTTTTTGGTAAAAATAATAGATGATTTTAGCAAGTAAAATAACCTAGAAAAAGTTTAGCCAAATCAACCAATTTAACCATTATTAGCTTGTACCATAATAGCTGCCGTAAATAAAAACAAATAACAATTAACCTCTTATATTCCATGACTTTTATTATACCATATGGCTTTTTATCCAATCTAAATACATGGAAAAGAATGCAAATCGTTTGGGTTACTCTTAATTTATAAGAGGGAGGAATGTAAGGCAGTTCTGTGAAGGTTACCTTGCTAGTCATTATTATTTTTTATTTATCATTATTTATTATTTAAATGACAATTAATCATCAACTAAAATTTAAAGGTTATGACAGGCCTAGTTAGCTCTGTTTCTTAGTTATTGATCACAGATTATCCCTATACCTACCTGCCTGTGTGCTGACCTCTGCCTGCCCTGACTATTGGAAGCCATTTATAAAGCTGCTCTGCAGGTGTCCTGCCAACTCCCACTTGTTGGACTTGTCCACATTGCAGTAATGTGTAACTAGTTCCCTCAATCACATCTGTGTATTCAGTTCGTTTTAAGAATCAATGGTAAAATATGAATTTGGGATTCAATGAGGCACTAAATAATTTCCTAAAAAACACTGGTAACACTTTACTTGAACCCTGCTGCATAACAGTGACATAATCATGCCATAAACATGTCATAGCAGATGCCATCATGATTATGTCCAGTAATATAACAGTGTCATGTTACTATTACCGTTAACTGTCATGACATATGACATAATGTTTCATATCATAATACCTAACCAGGTTACACAGCAAAATGATCATGTGACAAGCGTACAGCAACTACCATGGTGATTACCGGATACAGCAACATGGCACTGTTACATAATCAACCAAAATATTTCACGACAACATATGACAGAATATGCCATCTGCTATGGCATGTTTATGGCATGATTATGTCAATGTTATGTAGAAGGGTTCGAATAAAGTGTTAAATGGAATATAAGCTCAACATCAAGTATCTTATGCTTCTGTTCTGTTTATGCAAAAAAGTTTTTGCTCCATCTTTCTTACAAACTCACTAAACCCATGGGACCCTACAAACACACTAAAACTCATGGGACGACCTGTTTTCAGAGCCCCAGTCAAAGACTTGCCAAAAGCTCCACAGCACACTCTCTGAATCCAATGGCACATGACACATTCAGCTGTTAAGGAGATTCTCACCCTGCAGTTCCTATATCCTCCTACACACACTCTCAATCTCAAACACACACACATACACACACACACACACACACACATGCACAGATACATGTGATTTTTCTCTGAGCTGAATCCAGGCCAGCTCTAGTTCTGCTAATATAAGCCTAGCAAAGCCCTGCCAGTGGAGCCTGAGGCTGATCCAGCAGCACCGTGCTCATCACTAGACTGTTTAAACCCATCTGACTGTGTGTGTGTTGGAGGGGTGAGTGTGTGTTAGAGCACGACCAATATAGTGACATCAAATATTTTTGCTATTTTTATACCACAAGGTTAAACCACAAGGTTGTCAATTACCAATTATGTTAGTTGTAACCTTTTGAAACCTTAAGCTGTAAGTCTTTAGCATGAGAAAAACATAACACAAAAAACTTTTATGAAGAGGATTAACGACATAGACATAATAAGAGGTAATATTAAGAGTATTAATAAAGAGTTAAATTTATGAGTTTCTGGTGGGTTTTTTGTTTAGGAAGTATGATAGTTGGGGATCCTGAGCAGCCATCTAAGCGTTGGGAGATTATGAATTCAATCCCCAGTGATGTCACAGCGATCCATAACCAGGAGTCCAAGCGAGCATAACTGGCCTCGCTGTCTTTGGATGGGCCAAATGATCTTACCGCTCCTCCCACCACACAGCGCGATGCTAGCCAACATGGTTATCTGTTAGCTGACATAAAAAAAATGGCAGTTAGTGTTCCCAAGTATGTTGAGCTGTCCGAGTTAAATAGGCTATCATGCTCAAACACTCTACTACCTTAATGTAAAAATACATTACAAAACATCACACAGTGTGAGTGAGTGCTTTTTCAGGATAGATTTGTTACAGGATTGAATCAAACTTCATTCTTTTTCACTCCAATGTCCAATTCAGCTTGCTGATATCTCTAAAAATGTTCATATTGGTCAGGTCCTAGTGTATAGGAGAGTCTGTGTGTGGGTGTGTTTGAGAGTGTGTGCACAAGCAAGAGGCTTTTTACACTACTGCTCTTTAATGACATCATTAAATGTAAATAAAGTATGTTCTCCTCTTTCAGAGGACACTTAAAAATTGAACATCGCCTGACATTCAACATAAAGGATCCTTTAAAACAAGGCCAGTGCTGGGGTTGATGCTCCTTGAAGAGCATATCACAAGAGCATGTTAAGTACAAGTTACCAGTTAGTTAATTAGAAACATCTACACTCGTTAGCCAAATTATCAGGAACACCTGCCATATAGGACATATGTGGGCTCAAGGATGACTATCAACAAATTGTTGTTGGCAAAAAGACGAGCTATTGCAGCAGTTCCCAAAATTATTTAGTCTAAGGTTCCCTTTGAGAATAGTAAATGCTACTGCACCCCAAACCCCCATCCCCGCTTGCTACCCTGCCCTGTGAACCAACAAGAGGTGGCCAGTAAGTCCAAAAGCTATATGTCTGAATGGAGATGAGAGAGCTGAGAAAAACTGGTCTTACACTCTCAGCAATACACAGCTGTACACAGCTGCTTATTCGTCATCTTCATGGCAAAAAGAGACATTAAATGCTTCTTTTTACAGACAGTTACAACATTTGTTTCACTGTTCAGCTTTCAGAGCTAAACAGCAGTTCGTTAGTAAGGTATTACTATGATCTGATCACCGAGGCTACGTTCACATGACAAACCTCATTGCTCAAATCCGATTTTTTGCTCTATCATTAATGTGAACAAACTGGTGTCCTGAAATGACTTGCATGTACACATCCTACTCACGTGAATGAATCACATGTGTCACGTGCATCACCAACAAACAAACCAACGAGCAGAATTAACCTTCATCTGCATTATTAGAGCGAGATGAAGGCGAAAAAGATGTGTGAGATGCGTTGCCTTTCCACCTTTTACAGGCTTTAACTTGTGTTCGATGCTGCTGCCATGGTAACGCTGAATGATGGCGCACGCACAGTGAAAAAAAGCACATGAATTCCGATCTGAGTGTTCACATTAAGGTCACATGGCCACGAATCGGATATGTATCCAATCTAGGACCACATATGAAAGTGGCTCAGGTCGGATTTGAAAAGATCAGAATGGTGTGTCCACACAGCCCTGAAAACATCAGATCTGAGTCACATTAGGGCAAAAAATCAGATTTGCGGCACTTCAACTTGGTAATGTGAACATCAATCGAATATAACAAAACAGTGTTGTACATGAAATGAGAGTCACATACCACAACAGTACATGCAATATATACTACAGTCCCTGATATATTTAATACTAAAGCATCTTCATATATTTATTATTAAAGCATTATCTATATAACACTTTATTGGCATGTACTGGGGAGCAAGTCTAAAGAAAAATTAGAAAAACAAATCTCTCTATCATGTTCACTCTATTACAAAGTACTTTTATTTACCTGTGCTTGTCAAATCCATTATACTCTTAATCTTACAGTGTAACTTAGATCAGAACAACTACAGTGCTTACAGTCCTACCTTTCATATATTTTAATAAATATCAAGGGAAAAGAAAACATATTTAAAAGAAAAATTTCACAGATGCAACTGAAAATAACATCAAAATTTTTAATATTTATTTTACCCACCATTTGTCTTTGTTACAGCTTTCATTCCTTTCAGAAGATTTGCTTTTGGTTTTTCAAAAAAACCAGCAGGGATTTTTTCCCACACCTACAAGTTCAGTCTCAAAAGTTGGTTGCATTTTCTGCTTCTCACAATCCAGTAATCCCAATTACAAATTCAGATACAGATACAGATCACAGTAGAAGGATGGACAGAAACACGAAAAAAAGAAATTTACATGCCAGCTGAGGTTTGGGAGGCTGCTTGTATGAGTGTTAGTGTCTCTTTGAAGAGGAACATAACACCAGTGACCGCTTTGGGAACAGCCTTTGTTGGGAAGACACAGCTGTAACTGGCTGGCTTTAAGACTGGAATGATGGAAGAGTTAAAGAGGCAGCAGAGAGCACAAAAGATAAGAATGGACAAATTAAATACTGATAGATTTGATATTATATTTAGTTGTTGGAGCTTTTCTCTCAAATGTGTTTTCTGCTTGTTCTGACGTATTCAATGGCCATTTTGACTGGAAATTAAACAAGTGAAAGGGTCATCTTTTCCATAGATGATGATTTTGTTTCAGAGCACTACGACAGCAAGTTGGCAGAAACACACACACACCCACACACACACACACACACACACACACAATATACACACAAAGACAAACATACACAGCTGTCATGAAGGCATTTAAGCCACAATGCATTATGAGCACAACCTTTCAGTCATATGTCAACCATTCACACATAAAGGGCAATGTGTGTGTGTGTGGGTGTGTGTATGATTGTGCAGGAGGAGCTGGCGGCCTCTGAGGGGAGAGATGGAGGGCGAGAGAGAAAGATTAACAAGAGAGCGAGAAAGAAGAAGAAAAATAGAGAGTGAGAAACTCTTACCTCTCCATAGTCAGTAGTGAGTACGAGTGTTCCGTCTCCACAGGAGTTCACCGTAGAAGGAAGTAGCTGCTCTTTCTCCTTCACCCACACTCGTGCCCCCTGCAACACACACACACACACACAAAACACACCGTTATACTCATCACAATCACTCCCAGTAAAAGCAACATTTTAAGATGAAGGAGAAAAAACGACACTTTGCACTGGTGGTGGTAGCCAAATTAGCAGGTTATCTACTAAAAACGTCCATGCAAATGAGCACGTGAAACTTTGTGATTATCATATGACCAGTGCAATATAACCACATGTCTGGCTCACATATTTGTATGAAAGCTCCTTCCCCCAGATAAGAGAAAAAATGTCTTTTATCCTTCATTTCAGGTTGAAACTGTAACCTTTTGGATTGAAATAGTTGCTTATTTTCTTAATATTCTGATTTAGTAACTCAGAATAATGGCACAAAAAATGAATTATTACTCATTGAGAAAGTATGTGATTATGTCAACATCACGAGTCATTACTGTGAGAAAATAAGACAGTAATTCAAGGAATTCATTTGAGGAAATTAATTAATTATTTTTACTTTCTGTTTTGAAGTAGAAAGTTTATTTTCAGCTGATGGGATGAGCTTAACTTGAGTTTCATATCAAGTGCATTTGGAAACCATGTGATACAGTAAACCCCGTTTAATTCACTGCACATACTCAGGTCGTTTGAGAATCGTGTGGTTTTGAACGGTTTTAGTCACATGCAAGACATCAAATAACAGCTGTGACAATTCTAACACAGGCACACATAGACCACCGCACGCACAGAAGCCAGAAGCAGGAATACTGAAGTAATGAATAGCATTAGTAGAGTAGGAAAGTTTAGTAAAGATACCTGCAAATTGTGCTCATTGTATGTAAATGTATTCGAGCATGGAAAAAACTGTTCATTGTTAGGTCCAACCAGTATTATGCAAACTGCGTTCTGAAGAGTTTTCAAAAAAAGAACTCAGTATTGAAAACGTGTGATCAGTTTTTTTTCTGTTGCATGAAGGCACATAGGCTACGTTTAAAACACAAGCCTCACTGCTCAAATCCGATTTCTTGCTCAAATCCGATCTCTCTGACACAATGTTTCACACTTGTTTAGGTAAGCGATTCAAATCTGTCATTAATGTGAACAAACCGGCGTCCTGAAATGACCCGCATGCGCACTTCCTACTCAGTAATGTCACGTGAATAACTCACGTGCGTCACGTGCATCATCAGCAAACAAACTAACGAGCAGAACAAGCCTTCGCTGAGAAGATAATTAACTCTGATCAGCTCTCAGCTTCATTATTAGAGCGAAAAAGGTGAGAGGTGTTGCTTTTCCACCCATTCACAGGCTTTAATTTCTGTTCGCCACTGCTTACAGTCGCCACTGCATGGTAACGCAGTGGAAAAAAGCACATGAATTCCTATCTGAGCGTCACATTAAGGTTGCGCGTCCACAAATCGGATACGTATCTGATCTAGGACCACATATGAAAGTGGCTCAGGTCTGATTTGAAAAGATCAGATTTGTGTGTCTTCTGTTGTTTCTCTATAACGCTCATCCAGACAAACGTAATCCCAATTTCTATGTTTTACAAACCTTTATGTATTAGTATTGGCATAAACAGACATGTACATGAAAAAACATCAGCTTTTACCCACAATTTCCTTATCAGTGAATTTTCCATTCCACCTTGAATGCCCCGGCAGTCACACTGTTGCACCATTTAAAGTGGAACGTAAAATTCAAATAAGAAGCTGGTGAGCAAAAAGTTATTACAGCTTTGTGGAATGTAAATGGAGAAACAGCATTTTTAATCACTACTTCTCCTTTTCATTATCAATAAAGTCATTTATACAGTCTTAGATTTTGACACTGCATTGATTTTCACCCAAAAATTCTCAGTGGCTGAGATTTAGGTGCGTCTCTATCCAATACTCAACATAAAAGAATTCAGATGGAGATCAGCAGGCAGAAACCTCATCAAGACATCACTTTTCAGGACTATTTAAGAACCACAAAATACTAAAAACAACCAGTTCTATTTTACAATGTCTGTGTCTTATTCTTGAACTTGCTGTGGAGGAAAGTGCCCTTCCCCCCACACCTCCCTCACTTCCTTCTTCACAGACAAAGAGAAGGAGAGGGCGTTGTGTTGTATGACTTGTCCTCTTGTTTAATTACCCTGTTTCTGGCCTGCAGTGGGGGTTGGAGCAAGTGAAGTAAGAGAAAAGATCGATACACCTCAGATCCAGCAGAGATGCCTGCTGCAGGACCACCAGAGCAAGCAGTTCTACCTTTACAATAAAAACCCACAGCTCACAATGAGTGATGAGTATTGGTCCTAGTGCAAGCAGCCAAATGTAACACATTACATTGCACTACATAACAGGACATTAATAAACTAGCATGTTTAACTTTGTGCTAAATGAAATCACTTAGTTTCATCATATTTTTCTTTCATTCAGCAATACTGATGAAACATTTGGGGTACAGAGCCTTCAAGCTTGCGTGTGTGAAACAATCTGATCAATGTGTGATCAAAGTCTTTGCTTCTTGTTAATCACGTGCTGAACCCTGAATTCACACCAGACGTGGCATGAAAGCGCTGTGTAAGTGAAGTGCAAGTGTCCAGTCCTGACTCTGTCCTGTTACTTCAGTTGGAAATATGAGTTCAATTTTCTTCTTTGTCTTTTCTAATTAAAATACTGTAGTTTTGAGATGTGACAAAACAAACAATAGATCTGTTTATTGTGGCAAAACCATGATCAAGCGCTGTTGGTGTCCCATCATGTGGTCTCTACACAACGTTAGTACAGTGCAGGAGCTGCACTACAAGTACTACGCCAAAAACATCTAAGCATTTAAAAAAAATATGGTTTTAAATATAGTTAATAACCCTAAAGAAAGTAAAAGTGTATGACTTGACCAAATCTCTACATTGTAAGAAATTTAGGCCAACTTAAAATGACAAGATACTTTTGTTTAGTCAAAGTTCTCCTAACTCCAACAATATAGTTTAAGTTGATTTTTGGAGGAAGGTGCTTCCTCTCAGACTCATGACCATGGAGGGCTATGGTTTGAATTTTTAACTTCAGATCTTCCATCTCCTGATGATTAGGCTGTAAGACGGTTGTGCCACTCTGGACATTATGCACCACAATAAAAAAAAAAAAACACAAAAACATTTTGAACATATTGCTCTAGCAAATTTAATTCGGCACAGGTTTATTTTTTTCTTAGCACATTTTAATTCTAAGCACAGACAGTGCTCTCTATCTAAGCTGAACTATTTTAGCCCAGTAAATGTACATTTTCACGCTTTATGGACACAGAAAATAACATGTTTCACAGGTCTACAGTAGGGCAAGTGTCTGACAGCCCAATCATCAGAAGATCCTCACTTTTACCATGATTACAGTGATAACGTAGCCCTCCATGGTTCAGAGTCAGACAGTAAGAAGTGCCCACTGCCCCAGCCTACACTGTTATAAATAAAGGTGCTGTGCAGGTACATTTTTCATTCATCAAGGTACAAACAATGTAAATGTTCCTGCAAAGGTACAACAGTGGATTTAGGGTCCAATTGTGAACCTTCAGTAAGTTTTTTTCCAGGTGAAAAGTACATATTTGTATCTTTTCATAATCTAATATTTTAAATCAGAACAATCAAATAAAAAGTGTGTAGAAGAGACGGGGTGTGTGGAGTCAATACAGCCTAGAAAATATAATTTCAATGGTACAGTTATGTTCCCTGACTAAATGTACTGAGGTACTGACACCTCAGTGACAAGTGGGGTACTGCGCCAGTGTCAGTTTCGTATCTTTTTTCTGAGAGTGTAGGAAAGATTGGAAGTCCTGACCTGCAGGGGTGATATTAGCCATGAACAAATTGAGAGAAAAGACGAAACTGAGTACTAAAGACCCACATTTGCCCTTTTTTGAGTAAGCTCAGTTTAAATTGTTAGCCTCACTCAAATGCAGAACTAAAAAACAAATTAGCAGAAATTTTGACTTAACTATGTTGAGTAAACAAATAAATCAAAAGTAAAGTAAAAAATGTGGCAAGACTGAAGTGTGTGCGTTCTGACTGACGCAACATGCATCAAGCACAGCCAGTGTGGACTGAAACACTGTTTACAGTGGAATATGTTCTCTCAGACAGACAACTAAGAACACTTCACAAATGAGTCTGGGGTGTCTTATGAGTGAATAAAGATCAAAGCCGCGCCATAAACACCACTACACCTTACTACACCTTTGCCTTAAGATAAGATAAACTAATGGTTGGTTTTGTAAGGCAGCCTCCTTTGCTAGTTGATTTAGACTGCACACTCTACAGCAGCAGGCTGTTCACATGCAGCTGGCCTCCTCACGGCCAGATGTGCCACGGCCGGAGGGAGAACAGCTGAGCATTACAGTCTCAAACAGGCTATGTCTTCACTTCCACACAAATACATACAGTCTGAAGCATGTACTACACCTGTATGCACTGAAAAAAGTAGAGCATTGAAGTTGCTTGATTCAAATAAGTACATAATTTCCACATGAATAAAATATAGTACATCAGCACGACTGCTGTTAAAAGCAGGTAAACTGAAAAAAACAGTAACTGTAACTGTAATAAAATGCACTCAAGTGGAAATACATTTACTGCATCACACATTTAAATGTGCATATAAAACATACACTACAATATGAGTACCGCCACAAGCACACTTCTTCACTTAAGCTTATTCTTTAATTCTTAAATGCATGATGTTTATTGACAGGGAAACTCCAGGTATGAAATTCAGTAAGGCCAGAACTAACGACTATTTTCATGATCAATTAGTTGGTCCATTATGACTTAGATTAATCGATTAGTTCGTAAACAAAAACCTTCAGATATGAGCTTGGCAAAAATGATTCATTCAGCCAATTAAAATACAGGGGTTACTCTTCCTTTTTTAAAAAATAATGAAATAAAACACTTAGCATATCTTCTTATTCGCATTTTCTAAAAAGAGCTTTTATTAAGGGCACAGCAACACATTGTCTACGTTGCTCCTGAAAACTATTTTGAAAGGTACGAA